AGCGATACCAGGACAGTAAGGGGAATATGGGCAGAAAGGGGGAACCTACCACAATGATCTACATATAACCCCCTCCCTGGGAGATGGAAAACAGAAAAGTAAGTGAAGGGAGACATCAGACAGTGTAAGAAAAGACAAAATAATAATAATTTCCAAATTATCAGGGGTTCATGAGGGAGGGGGTGGGGAAAGGAGGGAGTGGGGAAAATGAGGAGCTGATACCAAGGGCTCCAGTAGAAAGAAACTGTTTTAAGAATGATGATGGCAACACATGTACAAATGTGCTTGACACAATGGATGGTTGAATTGTGATAAGAGTTGTACGACAAATGTGCTTTACACAATTGATGTATAGAGGATTATGATAAGAGTTGTATAAGCCCCTAATAAAATGATTTTTTTTTAAAAAGTTGTATAAGCCCTCAATAAAAATGATGTTTTTAAAAGAGCTTTATATCAAAGAGTAATTGTATATTAAGGAAACATCCCAATCCAGTCCTGTTTAAGTCCATAAGTCCAATATTAGCCCATATGTCCGATACCAATCTCTAAATTCCTCTTCAGATTCACGAAACACATGCAATGATGCCGAATGCGGGAAGATCACAGGTCAGTGGATGGAAAATCTTGTGGATCCAGTGGCAGTGGAAGCATCTCCATGCTGGCATGGGTCTCCAGGTGGCACCTCCAGCTCCAGGGCTCTGGCTCTATCAGCATAGCTCCATGTGTCTTGTCAACAAGAATGTCTCACAGGGAGTGAATGTATCTGGCCTCCAGGGAGCTATATATCTCCATTATGCCTCCAAATGAACTGCGGCCTGGTAGACAGGCTAAACTCCACCTTTTCACTCTTAATAGTCTCAAGTTGACAACAGATTATGTAGCTACCACAGTAAGGATGGCACCAAGGAGCCTTGCTTGTGATGTGGGTGAGGCATTTGATTCCCTAGCATAAAGTCAGTCGTTCGAACTCACCAATGGCTCTGAGATAAACATAGTTGTCTGAGCTGGTAAAGACGGGTATCGTCAGAAAACCTAGGGCCAGTTGTACTTTGCTATACAGGATCATGATGAGTCTGCAACAGGTTTGGCATTTTTGTTCCATGGTGGCATAGAAGACAACTTGATGATACAACTGAGCCCCCGAACTAGAACCAAGAGGCAAGAATGCAGGGATTCCAACCCATAAACACCCATGTCCATGCCAGCATGATCCCCGACAGGCAAAAGTTAGGAACCATCTGAGTGATACCCGCAGAGGAGGGACAAGCATCCTGGGGCGCGTGCATATGACAAAGCACCACTGAACTCAGCTGGGAAACCAGGACTTGCTACGTACGGGCTAGGACAGGCACACACCTGGCAGGCATCATGCTGAGTGAACTCAGATGGACATGGCAGGACAAAGAGTGTACGATTGCCCTGGTCTGTCACAGCTAGAATCAGCAACTAGAGACAGTCCTAAGTTCATGTGTGGTTACCAGATGGGAGGTGCCCTGGTAACGCAGCAGCCTAAGCGTTGAGCTGCAAACTAAAAGGTTGGTGGTTGAACTCACTAGCCACTGGCCACCCCACTGGAGAAAGATGAGGCTGTCTGTGTCATTAAAGACCGGCAGTCTCTGACTCTTTACAGCAGTTAGGGTCTCCAAGAGACGGCAGTGGGTTGGGTTTGACCTACCAAGGGGGAAGCAGGATTGGGGGTGGGCGTGGCACAGGGAGGGTGAGAAGTTACTGCTGAAGCTGTAGGGAGCATCTTTTGGTGGGGTGATGGGGAATTGTGGGGAACAGAGTGTGGGGACAGTAACGCAGGCTCCTCACTGCCAAGGAGGCGATGCCACCTCATCGCGACCCTCGAGGACAGGGCAGACTTGCCCCTGTGGGTTTCTGAGACTGTCACTCTTTATGGAAGCAAAAGGCCGTACCTCTCTCCTTTGGAGCAGCTGATCTTGAGATTAGCAGGCCGACACGTAGCCACTGGGCCACCAGGGCTGCCACTGAACGGTACTGTAGAAAACCATGAAAACAGCGACCTTTGTGAAATATATTTTTACCACAATCACACTATTAAAGGAAGGAAAACCTGAAAAGATGGTCAAGACAAAACGTTTGTTCCAGGCACATAATAGTCCAGGTCTGACCATTACTGCAGCCCATCCCACCCCACCTGCCCCTCCACACCAGTCACCCACCCCACCTGCCCCTCCATGCAAGCCAGCTCCACGTCCCGCAGAGCAGGAACACCAGGCCATCAGTCACAGTGCCAGCTGCGGCACCCTCTCCAGCTTTTTCCAGGAGGCTAACTGCCTCCCATGCCCTGCAAGCAGCCAGCGGACTCCCACCTCCTCCTGTACCGACTTCCCAGCGCCTTCATAACCCCACCAGGGCCTGGCTGCACTGGCAGCCTCAGGGCAGGTGGGCAGGACCACTCCTGACGCTGAACCAGGCCTCGGTAAAGCTGCAGGAATGCATCTGCTCCCGCCACCAACAGGATGAGCTCAATAGCCATTGCAAAGACAGTCACAGTGTCCCCAGGCACCTGTTCCGTGCCGGGCCCTGGGCAGCCTGGCGACAACCCTTGTCTTGCTGTCATTAGGTGTTTGACAGTGACCCCATGTGACAGAGGCAAGCATGGGGTTTCCCTAAGCCTTTCTCATCTGGAGTCACAAGGTAGATTCAAACCCCAGACATTTTGATTAGAGGCAGAGTGCTTAACCTCTGTGCCATTGGGGCCCCTTGGTAGTAGTGCCCATCATCAAATCATTAACATAAATCAAGGGTATTTCTGTGCCATCCCCTCACCTACTTCTGCCCCACCCCCTCCAGAGGGAGCTGGATAGGGTCCATTTAGTGGATGAAAACAACAAGGCGTAGGGAGGCGGAACCATTTCCTCCGGTGGAGGAAGCAGGATTTGAACTGGGGCGACTTTATTCCAGATCCAACCCTGTCACTCTCTGCAGCCTTGATCAAAAGAAACAAACTAACAAAGTCACTGCCGTCAAGTCGATGCCGACTTATAGAAACCCACAGGACAAGTGGGGGTCTGAGGCTGCCACTCTGTATGGGAGTAGAAAGCCTCATCTTTCTCCTTCACAGTGGCTACTGCTGACCTTGAACTTAGCAGCCTGGACCCACGAAACCACCAGGGCTCCTTGAGTAACTTGGCAGATGCGATTAAGAACCTTGAGAAGGGGAGATGACCCTGCATGACCCAGCAGGCCCCGTGGAATCACAAGGACCCTTGCCAAAAGAAGGCAGGAGGGTCAGGGTTGGAGGCAGAGGTTGGAGTGGGGTAGGGCCCAGGAGCTGGGAAAAAGGAGGCCGGTTCCCCCTAAAGCCTCCAGAAGAGCCTCAGAGCTGCAGTTCCATTTTAAATGTCTGACCTCCGGGCCTCTGAGGTTGTACAGTACATACTGGGCCGAGTTAACCAGGCTGGGGGCAGGGAGCTTCCTGAGGGAGGCAGCCTTGAGCCGAATGGCTGCCTCAACAGCCCCCAAGCCCACACACCTCTCTGAAGGGTTTTGTCTGGGTTGACAGCTGGAGCCTGCCTTTTGTCACACTGGCTTCCATACGAGGGAGATCCCAGGCCACACATCACACATAGCCACTGAAATTCACCATTCAATTAAGGAGCCCTGGGGTCCCAGAGGGTTACGTGATGGTCCTGCTAACTACAAGGTGGCAGTTCAGCCTGCAAGCCGCTGCTCAGGAGACACAAGGGACTGTTTGCAATCACAAATAATAACTGGCTCAGCAACCCACGGGGCAGCTGTCCTGTGTCCTTTGGGGAAGAGTCGGAATCGCCTTGAGAGCAGTGGTTCGGAATCTCCGACTGGGTCGTCAGCCTGCAGTACTGCAGTACTGCGCGTTGCTGTGATGCTGGAAGAAGCTACACTGCTGGTGTTTCAAATGCCAGTAGGGTCACCCAGGGTGGACAGGCTTCAGCAGAGCTTCCAGACCAAGACTTGCAGATCCATCTGAGACTCCTGACCTCTGGAACTCTGTGATTGTACAGCATGAACTGTTTGGGCCACTAAGTGGAGAATGAATTCAGAGTTTAAGCTGGGGGTGGGGGTCAGGGGGAGCTTCCTGAGAGAGGCCTGGCAATCTACTTCAGAAAAACCATCTATAGATCTATAGATCCCAGGGGAAGGACTATTGTCCAGCATAATATTGGGAGATGAGTCTTCTTAGATAGATGGCTCTCCTCAACCACCACTGCAAGAAACTCACACCAACCCACAGCTGTGAGGATGGGCCGGGATCAGACAACGTTGTACATGAGGCTGCCCTGAGCCAAAGCTCGCTTGAGGGCAACTAGCAATTTAAGTTTAAATGTCAGTTGATGACACTCAAAGGCAACATTTAAAACCACTGCCCCAACATCAAGCTTAATTGGCAGAATATAGTTCACAAAGACAATACTTTAGATCCTAATCTGGGGAGTTAGCAACTGGGGTCTTAAAAGCTGGTGAGTAGTCATGACAAGGGACAAAATCAAAGGCACGTGGAAACAATTATTTTGATGGAGTAATGGACAACAGGAAACATCAGTCTCCACCACCCTGAGACCAGAAGAACTAGATGGTGCCTGGTAACCGCTACCAACTGCTCTGAAAAGGGTCTCATTAGAAGGTTTTAAAAGTGTAGAGAAAAATGTGGAACAAAAATCAAAATCCTAAGAGAGACCAGGCTGATGGGTCTGATAGGAGACTGGTGGAATCCCAAGACTACGGCCGTCAGCCACGCTTCAGGTCGGAACTGAACTCACCCCTGTGACTCCATTTTCAGCCAAGCAACAGGCAGGTCTGTAAGGTGGCCAGTAACACTAGGGAGGTGCGCACCCATGAGAATCATCAACCACTTAGATCCCGAGGACAGCATTCCCCAAGGACAGTGTTCGCCAGGGTCAGGAAGGGAAGAGAGATGGAGACAGGAGAGGTGGGGAGGCAGCAGGACAAGTGAAGGGACTTGGCAGTAAATGAGGGGATGGCAATGGATGAACTGATTGTGAATATATCTGACTTGTTGAGTGTAAAATGACCTTTCACTCGATTCACTCAATTTTCTCTTTAATTTTGAAAATCACCACCCCACTGGCCACATTGCAAATGTTCAAAAGGCCCATGAGCCTGGTGGGTGGCTCTGCGTCAGACCACACTGATACGGGGCACCGCTATCCTTACACCAAGTCCTAACACCCCAAGGGGTGCAATTGTCTCGTACAGAGAAACTGAGGTTCAGCAATGAGCAAGGAGAGGCAAAGCTGACGCTCCCAATTTGGATCTCCTGGTACTGCAGCAGGTTAAGCATTGGACTGCTAACTGAAGGGTCTACAATTCTAACCCACCAGTCAACGTGAAGAGAAAAAGACATGGCTGTCTTGTTATTGCTATCGGTGCCAACTCACAGCGAGCCCGTGTACCACAGCCCAAACACCGCTGCTCCTGCGCCAGCCTCACCGCCCTCAGTAGGCTGGCACCCATGGTCGTAGCCACGGTCAGCCCACTTCATCAAGGGTCTTCCTCTTCCCACTGCCCCTCGGCTTCACCAAGAAGGATACCCTGCTCCCGGGACTGCTCTCTGGACAACGTGCCCAAAGTACGTGGAGGAGGTCTGCTCATCCTCCCCTCTGTGGGGCACGCTGGCTGGACTTCTTGCAAGACAGAGAGGGAAGCCATACCGGGCAGTTCCACTCTGTCCTATAAGGTCACTGTGAGTTGAAGTCAGTTGGACAGGATTGAGTTTTAACCTTATCTCAGTCTTCTGGACTTGGGAGTAGGGAGGGGGACACACATGGGCCAACGTGGCTAATGTACACGCACCCACCCAGGCCCAACTGTTACTTAACTTCACCACAAATTACACACCCACTGGACAGAGTCATAACCTCTAGAAACACAGCAAACAGTTCATCTTGACCTCTTTGTCCCTCGGCCTTAATGTAGGGTGTCCCACGCACTGGGCAAAAGAGAGCTTGAAGATTAGTGAAGGGCCCACTGCCCGGGTCCCAGAGAATGGAGTGGCTCCTTACAGACACAGAGCATTTGCAGTTGAAGTTGAAGCCCACCCAGAGTTCCTGTGACCTGCCACCGCCCCGCCAGCCTCCAGGTCTGCCACCTCCACAAACGGTATGCAGAGACAAATCTCTACCTACAGAGTGAGTAGAATACCCTAAGCGTACCTGCCACGGGCTCTGTGCAATTTCTGGGGTCGCCTCTGCAAGCCACAAGAGGAGGAATTCCCTGTGGTGCCACCAACATGCCACCACCTGGTGGTGGTGGTGGTGGGCTGGTGAGGAAATGGTCAGATGGAGAAGAGAGGCGGAACACAAGCAGTGTGCACTCAACCCCTTACCTAAAGGTTGGTGGTTTGAACACACCCAGCTGTACCAAGGAAGAAAAGCCTGGCGCTCTCCTGTGAAGATGACAGCCAAGAGACCCCAATGGACTGGCACTGCTCGGACACCCCCATTCCAGACACCACCTCTGCACTGACCAACGCTTCATTCTCCTCCCTGTGCAACCTAAGCAACAACAACACACACACACACTCACTACCAACGGGGCAATGCTGACTCATATCGACCCTATAGGACTGGGTAGAACTGCCACTGTGGGTTTCCAAGACTGTAACTCTTTATAGGAGTAGAAAGCCCTGTCTTCCTCCCACCAACAAAGATTGACAGCCCTGCAACCCCATGAGGCAGACCTGCTCTGTCCTGCAGAGGCCACTGTGAGTTGTAATGGACTGGACAACAAAGGGTTTTGTTTGTCCCAAGCAGTCATATGAATGAGGAGACATCACCTAAGTCCACATGGATGAAGCATACCAGCCTGTGTGTGTACCATGTAAAGTAGGCCAGACATGAAAGGGCAAATATTGTATAATCCAACTTACATGAAACCGAGCAGGTAAGACATACATCTAACAGTGACCACCAAGTGGGGGGCCGTAGGGAGGGGGAAAGAAGGGATCGGTGGATAGGGAGTACTAAGCT